TCTGCCTAGTTGCCTTTTGCCACTCCGAGGCGAGTGTGCAGACCATGTAGGATTGATTTGTTTGCCGCTTCCGCTTGTCCATTAGCCTGGGGGTACGTGAGTGACGCGAACCGGGCTATGGTGCCCATTTCATCGCAGAAGTCTATGACTTCCGCGCAATCAAATTGCTTTCCGTGGTCGAATATGAATGAGTTTGGGACCCCGAATCTGGTGAGTATATTGTTCTTCGAAAAAAAAACCACATGTTAGCCAGTTATCGACGCCAACGCCTCCACTTCAATCCATTTGGTGAAGTAGTCTACCACGACAATGATGTATTTGAGTTTGCCTTTCGCGGTGGGGAATGACCCCAGTAGATCCACGCCTCATTGTGCAAAGAGCCATGGACTGACGTTTCCCTGGAGCTCGGTAGACGGCGTGCGATGTTGACGCGCATTCAGTTGGCATTTGTGGCATTGCTCGACAAATTTCTTTGTGTCTTTCTTTATGCGCGGCCAATAATATCCGTGAAGAAGGATGGTGCGTTCCATACCCTGCGCTCCGTTATGCATTGCACAGATGCCTTCATGTATATCTTGCACAAACAGTTGTGCCTTATTTTGTCCTACGCACTTGAGGTACGCGCCCGAGTGTGAGCGTCTATGCAGTGTGCCCTCAATGAGGGTGCAGCGGGCGACTTTTTGTATGAGTGCCCAAGCTTCCTTCACGTCTTCCGGTATTGCACCACTTGTCAAGAACGCGATAATTGGCGTTCGCCAGTCCTCGTTTTCCTCTTTTTGTGTTGTATTCACGATGTGCAGAGTGTCCTGGTCCTCTTTTTGTATGGGGACCATCCTTGTTGAGTCGAAGTCCGTAGCCGTGGCAAGTTTAGAAAGTGCGTCTGCGTGCATGTTCTCTTCTCGCAGAATTTGGACGTATGTAAATGTTTCGAATTGTGCCTCTCACGCTCTGACGCGCTCGATGTATTGGGCAAGCGTATCTTCTTTGGCGTCAAAGATTCCGTTCAGCTGGTTGACTGCGGTGGCGGAATCAGATAGAATTCGTACCACTCTTGCGCCTAAGTCTCTGGCATCCGTCAGCCTTGCCAGTATTGCTTCGTACTCAGAAGCGCTGTTAGTCTTAAGCGTTTTGAAACGGATGGCGATTTCGTGGATAGCCCCTGCGGGCATTCTTATGACTACGCCTGCGCCAACTCCATGTTTGCTGGCGGCCCCATCGACGTAGACCTTCCACACTCCATCGGGTTTGTCGCTCAACATCACTCCTTCAGCGATGAAATCGGTGAGGATTTGAGCGTTGATTGCCGGCCTTGGCGCGTACTGGATATCATATTCTGATATTAGACTGCACATTTTACCATCAGCCCTGACACTTCCATTGAGCTTAGAATTCTTTTGAGCGGCAGGTTTGTCAGAACTGTGATCATGTATGACTAGAAGTAAGGGCGTAGCTTCTGTGATGCACTTACTAGCGCTAGGGCGGCTTTTTCGATTGGGGAATATCTTGTCTCCGCGCTTGCCAGTGTTCACGATGTGTAGTAGATTGACTTCTCTGTCTGCGCGTCTCTCCTTGAGATAAACACTGCGCTCACTGCTCTCGCGGACACAGACAAGTACAGAAACAACTTTTCATTAAACTCGGGGGCAATCAATACAGGGGGTGAGACTAAGTACAGCTTGAGCTCATTGAATGCAGCTTCACATTCTAAGGTTCACATGAATCGAGCACGGTTTTTTAAGGTTTGGAAGAATGGAGCGCATTTGTCGGCGGATCGCAGTATGAACCGTTCCAGTGCGGCTAGCTTGCCGTTCAAAGATTGGACTTCGGTGGCGCTTCTTGGGACGCGTATCTGTTGCACTGCTGTGATTTGTTTGGGGTCGACCTAAATCACGCGTTTGGTTATCATGAATCCTAAGAACTTTCCTACTTCCGCGCCAAAGACGCACTTCAACGGGTTGAGTCGGAGGCTGTTTTTGCGTAACGCCTCGAAAGTTTCGCGAAGATCTTCCAAATGTGAGCCTCCCCCCTTTGTTTTAACGATGAGTTCGTCCACATAGGCCTTAATGTTGCGCCCCATCTGGGGTGCAAAGACTGTGTCAATCATCCGCTGGTATGTGGCGCCTGCGTTCTTCCGACTGAATGGCATTCCCGTGAAACAAAAATTGCCGAATGGCGTCATCAAGGTGGTTTTCTCCTTGTCTTCGCGGCTCATTGGGATCTGGTGATATCCTAAAAAACATATCTAAGAATGATAATGTTTCATGGTTGGATGTCACGTCGATCAGTTAGTCGATACGTGGCAGAGGGTATGAGCCTCCCGGACATACTTTGTTGATGGTGGTGTAGTCCACGCACATTCTCCATGCGACGGAAGCTTTTTTCACCAGGATTACGTTGGCCAGCCATCTTGGGCCTTCAGCTTCTCACCTGTGAAGGTGCACCGTGCTTGTTGTCGGGGTTCCGCGTTGTTGGGAACCGCGAGGCAATGTTGCGCTACATTTCTTGGAACTCCTGGCATGTCTTCTGTGCACCAGGCGAAGAGTTCTTTGTACTCTTGCTGCAGCTTCACCAACGACTCAACCATGTCGTTCGGGATATGCGTCGACATACCCACCTTCTTGTTGGGTTCTGTCAGGTCCAGTGCGACCTCGAAGTCAAAATCCATTGAATCTGGGCAGGGGTCATCGGCGCGGGTATCGATGATGTTGGTCTGTCGTGGTGCCGCAAAGGGGCGTGGGGTTTCTTGTTTGCTCTTGGTCCATGGTAAGCCGCCAACTCCCCCGTTCCCGCCTTGGTGGGGAATTTGAGTTTTTTATGGCGTGTGGATGGTAGCGCCATGAATTTTGCAAGGAATGGGCGGTCCAATATGCCGTTGTGTGGTGAGTCACAGTCTACAATAGTAAACTCGACTTGCTTCGAAATGCGCGGCTCGTCGTCCCCAAGTACCACTGGCAGTGTGATTTTCCCAATGACCGCAACCCGAGTTCCGGAGGATCCCATTAAGTTGCCTTGTGCTTGTTGGATTAGAAGCGGATCTATGTCCATCTGGTCGAGGGTGCGTTTGAAGAAGACGTCCACAACGCTCTCTCCATCTATTAGCAGGCGGTGGGTCTTACACGCAACGATTAACGTCGTTATGGTAAGTGGATCTTCCGACGGGATTCCTTGTGGGAGCTCCGAGTCGCTGAAGCTCATGTCACACTTGGTGGTGGTGCTTGTTGTCGCGCACTCTACTGCATGGTCCCGCTTTGTCTTCTTTTTTGGTCTGTCACCCTCAATTGTGAGTTTGTGACGACCCCTATGTGGAGCCGCTTGCCTGGTTGCCTGTCGATCTGCAGGCGGCAGGGGTGTTATTATTGGCGGCTCCGATGTTGTCGCGGGGGTTTCTTTGTTCATCATATGGGCGATCACTTGATTCATTTTTGCCTGCATATCCGCGATGAGCTCGTTTTGCTTGGCCATTTGCTGGCGGACTTCCTTGGCCGTCAGCTCTGGCTCTTCTTCTTCGATTAAGACCGCGTTGAGGTTGCTAGCTTCCGCGAACGATCTTGGGTTCGTCATCGCCTTGATTGGCGTTGCTTCATTGGGAACGTTGGGATTTTGTTCCGCCATCGTGACTTGCTTTCCTATTGCTTCTCTACTCACCGGCCCCACGGTGGGCGCCAATTGTTTGAGTCCGACTGAGAGTAGGAGTGAGACTCGGGTAATAAAGGGGGGATGGGGAGAGTAAGCAAAATGATCTTCTTTCCTTCGACTGAAATGAGATTACAAATAGCGGTGATCGGGAGAGGGGAGATCTTAGAGAGAGAAGTTGATATTATAGAGTGAGAGAGTAAAAATGCGATCCCTTCACCCACCGGAGTAAATGTCGTATTTATAGGCTACATTGTGGTGGGTGGGTATTTAATGCGACATCACTACTGAATTTGTCAGATGCTTAGGTCATGACTCTACCTAAGGCTAGACATTTAGGCCATGATTATACCTAGGACTAGGATGTGACCACTCTTCAGGGAATACGATGTCGTTTCTTGGCTTCTTAATCCGGCTTGAGTTGAGCAAAACGGCGGTGTTTGGCGCCTTGGTTCTTGTGGGCGCGTTCCGTCTCGCGGACCCAATCCGCGAGTGTGGTCCTTTCCGCGGCTGTGGTCTTTCCGCGAGTTGCTCCTTGTCTTGAGCGCGATGGTGCTGACGCGAGTGATTCTTCTGGGGTGGCGTTGGACTAACTAGTTGGCGCGACTAGACCCGAGACATACCCCTAACAAATAGGGGTGTTCAAATGGTTACCATGGTTATTACCAAACCAAATAAGACTAAATTTCATTAACCATGGAATACAATATCATAACCAAACCGTCCAAACTAATACAACAACCAAACTAAAGTTTCATCGGTTTGGTTAATTGGTTAACCAGATTAACCAATATAAAATCACATTATCATTAAGTGAGAAAATTTTCGGTTAATTTATCAATTCACAATTTATATAATGAATAAAACATAACAATCAACACTTGGTTATAGTTGACCTTTAACATAAATACATGCAACAAAGACAATTATCTTACGGTTAGTATAGAAGTATTCACCTAGCAAAAATTCATCACAATGGTATGGGTTAATGAATTGTTGTGTTTGTTTGAATTGACTTAAGTCTTTTAACAATTTTCATAGGTTGAAAACGACATTGCTTTCAAGTTTTCATCCAACATAATGTATGAGATTTATCTAAATTTGGCGTTCATATGTTGTGGTCTATACTCTACATATACAAATATACATTATAGGAACAATATCAAGCTTTATATTTTATGAGTCTAAAAGGGATGGACGTTTAACTCTTGAGTGGTTATTCAAGGTATTAAGTATGTGTATATATTAGATATATGGCTAATTATTTATCTGATTAATTTGGTTTGACTGGTTAGTAGTGTCTGAAACCAAACCAAACCACCTAAACCAAACAAGCTAAAAACTTTAACCAAACCAAACCAATTATCCAAAGTATCCAAATAGTACTGGTTAAAACGATTACCATGGTAACCACACCTTTGGAACACCCCTACCAACAAAGGTAATAAAGCGTACCCACTTTTTATCTTTTAAAGAATAAGGGTGATATAGGGTCGGAGGTTCGTCGCAGGATTTCTTACAAAAAGAGAAACTTTCCTGGACTATATGGTTCCTAATGGGTAGGCAAGCATGCCCATGTAATCTTATGTGAAAAAACATGGGAGCAATGTTGCTAAAGATCAAGGGATTCTCCAGAGACTCTGGAGCGCTTCCATAAAGGGAAAATTCTCCAGTTACCGCTTTGCTACAAAACTTACACAAAGTACCAATAGCTCCTCAGCTAATTTCTTCAGCCAACAACTTATCTTTTGGTACATATGAAGCTTTGTTTTTGTACTTTCTTTGACCAGCCTATAGGGGGCCAACATGACCAAAACAAACCAAACAAGCATTCCCCATTTTTCCTTTTAATCTTTGGCCCCTGAGAAAAAACTCAGTTTTCTTCTGGTGCTTCACCATTAGAATCTACCAGTTTTAATCCAATTACTTTTAGCCTAGCTATCAGCTTCAATATGATCTTCTTCGCCCTCTTCAGGTTCCTCTAATATACCTCCTTGACCCGCATCTTTGTTCGTGGCTAGATACTCGAGAGCTGTCACTACATCACTCATCAATGGCCTGGTTGCAGCTTCCTCCTGGAGACACATTGCTGCTACAGCAAGTGCTTGATGAAGACCCTTTTGTGGGTAATTCCCTTCCAGCAATGGGTCTGCCAATAAATCAAATTTCTTCCGGTCTTTGAGCAATGGCGATGCCTGCAGGAAAGAAAGTTGAGACTCGCTTTGTAGGGCATGGAGAACATAGAGGAGGAAATGTTGATTCCTTTTGAGGGAACAGTGGAACAGTCATAGATTCTGCACACATATACATACCCAAGTCACAAGATTCTGCTCTTCAGTGGGTCTTGAATTGTCAATCACCCTCCTCCCTGTGATGATCTCCAAGAACACAACTCCAAAGCTGTAAACGTCAGATTTTGATGTGAGTTGTCCTGTCAACGCATATTCAGGCGCGCAATAGCCATAAGTTCCCATCACTCTGGTCGAGACATGAGTTTTATCCCCAGTTGGACCGAGCTTGGCGAGCCCGAAGTCTGACAGCTTTGGATTGAACTCGGCATCTAATAATATGTTTGATGCTTTGAAGTCACGGTATATCACCGGAGGATCTGCTGTTTCGTGCAGGTACTCTAGCCCTTTTGCTGCACCAGCTGCAACTTTCATCCTGGTATTCCAATCCAAAGGAGCTTTTCCCTCTGGTAAATCTGTAAAGAAGGCAAGTATATGTAAGTGTCGTTATTCATCTGAAGGTAGACAGACAAGAACAAATTGTTGTTTTTTTATCTCTGATTAGTTTCTTCAAGCAAGCATACCAAGAAGGTGATCTTCCAGGGAGCCATTGGCCAAATACTCATAGACCAGGATTCTTTGGTCACCATCAGCACAATATCCAACTAAGTTCACAAGGTTAGAATGGTGAAGAAGGCTCAACATTAAAACCTCCACCAGGAATTCCCTGTTCCCTTGAAACCCATTTCTGTCAAGTTGCTTAACAGCAACATCCTGAATCAAATGGAACATGGAGCATTTATCAGAAACAATAATACTTTTGCTGCCCAGAGAAGTGGTCCTGAAACAAAGAATGATGGTGGAAGTACTACTACCTTATCTTCAAGTTGGCCCTTGTACACCCTCCCAAACCCTCCTTCTCCGATCAGATTTTCCAGGGTGAAGTTTTGAGTTGCTACCGTCAATTCCCGGAATGAGAATATCTTTGCAGATATATTTCCTTTTCCAATTTTCTTTATTTCTTCTGTTATGTACCTTCTCCTGCTGCTATCTGAGAAGTGAAAACTACAGGGGTTAATGCTAAAAACATGTTCAATCAGGTCAAGGAACACTCAAGCTTATCATGGAAGGTTCAGGTTAGCCAGCATAGTTGGCGGTCCCATCATAAGAAATAGAAGCAGAAGTTCAATTACCATATGTTAAAAACCGTAAGCCCAAGAATCTTAATTTGAAGAAAACAAAAATTTGCAGAATTTGGGCAGACATTCCTCTAAATCTTCCTGTCTGTCTGACTTCTGTAACACAAGGGTTGCATGAGGAAGAACCAGAGCCATTTTCATCATATCATCCTAAGGTTTCATGAAAACCTGTCCTGAGGAAAGAGAATATAGAAATGACATGAAAACATACCACTTTTGAAGGAGAGGTTGGCAAATGATGCTAAGGTTTTTGTGTCCTTGTAATTCTTAATACTCTTCTTCAATGACTTTCTGCTTAGTTTCTCTCCTGAACAACACGAAAAGCAACTCATCTTGACAACCTTTTTTGCTTTGATCTTCAGCATCCCAAGATAAAGTTATGAGCTTCAAAAGTGCTGCTGTGCAGATATAAAAATTTGTAAATCTCAAAGAAGGGTGACCAGGTGGCCAGCCTCGGTACCCTGGATCAGAGGCATGAAGCGTTGGCCGCCTGCAGGCATTCAGAAACTGGAGATTTGGCAAAAGAAATGGCCAGTTCCTGAAAGAGATGCGAAGGGGGTGGGGAAAATGATCTGCTAAGCTAGTGCCGATCACCTTGGCCCCTTTGGAGGAACCAAAATTTTCTGCTCCCGGTTTCTCAGAAAACACAATTAACTCATCCCCATATCATATTTCATTATCCTGTAGAACCAACATAGAACAAAGGTAACAAGAAGGCGAGAAATGACTTGGTCAATTTGCTAATTATAGCAAAACAGACAGTCTTCACCCTTTTACACTTTTCATTATTTAAAAAAATATATAAATAAACTGTATCTATCCTACCAGAAAACCAAAAAACAAAAAGGATTCTCATTCTTGTTAAGCTAAACAGACAGAGATGGAGGCTAATGAAGCGATGCTGTTGGGTTTATCATTGATTAAGAAAAGGTGACATCTTTTCTTTTTCTTCTTTCCTTCTCTTACCTGGCGCAATCAGTAGAATCCTGAAGCCATAACCATCTGAAAACCCAATTTTTTGTCATTTTTCCTGGCTGTCACTGTGCCACGAGGATGGCCTCCCCTCGGATGAGTTGTCTGGCGTGTTCTTGTCTTGTTTTAATCTATAGCCATTCCCCAACGGTCGGACATGTCAAAGTCCTGCGAATGAAAGCTGTCACTGATGATATTTATGTCAGCTATTTCTGAAAGCAGAAGAAACATCGGCATTGCCGCAAACCTGTGATCGTCTCAAGAGCATATTCCTTCTTCTATCTGCTAGCCTGATGAATGCCGGCAGTCACTACTAATTCGAAGGAAACACACCAAGACTGGAATCATGAAGCCCGATACTAAGGAAACCCCACTAGTTAGAGTTACTGTAAATCTTACATAAGTTAGAATTCAACCGGATTTATATTGTTCATATTAGAGACTGAAACATGGTAAATTGGTCATGTAATCAGAGAACTTGGACAATCTGGAAGACATACCTTACCTTCTTCTAGTTCGTAGCTAACATGAAGCTGCAGTTGCCCACATAAGCAAACAACAACAACAAAAAGCCTACGCCACCACCATGTGTGTAACCATAACAGAAACTTAATCACTAATTCAAAGATGTAGATTCTGGGAAGCAACATGATTGACTTTCCAATTGAAAGTATGAACATCAATCAAAGTAGAGCAAGTGGATAGGAGAAATAGATAAGATCTGAAGAGAGGAAAAGCTAATAACAAATCTCATACTCATTCCAACTATGTCAGTGCAAAAACAAAAAGACCCAACGAGATAATGTGGTCTCATCTGATGAAGTACCCCCAGTATCAAGTATCCTGAAAGGGGAACCAAAAAGCTAGAAAGCAAGCAGGCACTCTCATATACTCCACAAACTACAGTAGAATTACTATTAATCCTCTAGTCTCTTTCAACCTTGACGATGCATTGTGTTGCCTTCAACTCAGCAAGAGCTCTCTCAAGTTCTGCAAGCCGGTCAAGTACTGCTAGTTCTGTTATGCTCCTTGATTTATCCCCACATATATCTCCTCCAATCTTCTCTAGGTGCCTCAAATGATCAGCTGGAATCACAGGCTTGGTCTCCATTGAATCTTCGGAAGAACTTGCTCTTTCTGCAGAAGACACCATGGCAGAAGCATGTTTTACTGGTGTAGCCAGCAACAACTCCTCTCTATGTGAAGTAAGGCTTTCTTTTGCACGTGAAACACCAAGTGAATGATAATCGAAGTCATCATAGTTAGTTTCTGCTTTCACTTCCACAAGTTTACGTAGGACTATCTGGCTTTCTTTAGCAGATGATAAAAGATTATCATCATCAACTTTTTCAACTTTTACTTCTCGTGACATGGTAAGAAGACCAGAAGGAAAAAGTACACCTTGTGCTACCTGTGGAGTAATATTAGCTTCCAGATCACCTGATGAATATAAATGAGCAAGCTTTCTTCTCTTACTTGGAGTTCTTCTTCGTCGTGCAAGACCATTTGCAATTGGCGCATCCTTAAGCAAGCCTTCTGATGACAACATCGGCTCTCTCCACCAGTTCAAGTACCCAACAGTAACATCAGGCTCAAATAACCTAGGTGGAACGTAAACTTTAGCATTACCAAACGACATAATATAATTTAGCCAAACCATTCAGGGCACTCATTTGATGGATCAACATTGTGAGGAAGGTCTTGATCCATCCCAAACTGCATGGCAACACGATGTGGCAAATACTGCTCCACACAACCTTGACCCACCAGCTCAGATACCCTCAGACATAAAGAGTAGGGCAGCAAGCTCTCATTAGACTCCATGTCCAACCATTCTCCATTTCCCCTGTAGAAATCTGGAAACTGCCAACCATTGAGTGAAACAGCATAAGGCCTCCAGCTGAAAGTATCCCCTGCTGAGTCCAAAGCCAACCTCAAATCCCTAACTCTCCTGCTTCTCAAATTGTCCCACATAAATGACCTGGGTTCATCTTTTTGGATGGGATTGGGTGTTGGGCGGAGCTTAGGAAATCTCTCCCAAGCCCACAGCTGGACCAAATGAAGTGAAGACCAAAGGTTGACCGCCATTACCTCGGCATCAGGTTCAGATGTCTCCATCTGTGAAGCAGACACTATCGTTGCTTTCAACAGGCTCATATCCCTATAAATGTTTGCCAGAACTGCTGAAGCAAGCCCCACAGGTTTCGCCCTGGCTAAATGTAAAGCAATAGGGAAAACTGAAGCTTTGGGAGAACCCTCGGAATCATTGAGAACGAACCTCTCCAGCCACAGCGAGAGAAAAGCTTCGTGCTCGATTTCGATCCCGCTGCACATAAACACTCTCATCCATTCATTCTGGAAATCCTCATCGGTAGTGCTCCTCCTCTGTATTCGACCTGCAACCTCCACCAATTTCTTCTCAATCTGCTTCAATTCTCGACCATCACAATCGCATGCGAAAAATGGGTGACCCGAAACAGGGAGGCCTCCCAGAATCATTGCATCCTCAAGCGTCACCGTGGCCTCGCCCCAGGGGAAAACAAACGTGTTAGTCTCCGGACACCATTTCTCCGCCATTGCCATGATCAAGCCGTCGTCCTTACGGAAGCTGCAAGTGGAACCCAAGATTGCTTCGTAGATGCCAGCTTCCCTCCACACGGATTGGTAAGACGGGGACAAGTGGTCGACCCATGATTTCCACTTAGGGTTCGGATTCTGCCAGCCCATGAAGCCCACTTGCAGCGGCCACTTCTTACCGTGGCAGAACAGTGGTGCAGAGGAAGGGAACAGTAATGGGTGCTTGAGATGAACCTGCCCTTCAATGGAAGAGGTGGAGAGATTTCTGGGTTTGAGGAAATGGCTCAATCTTGAAGTTGGAATGGAGTTGCCAACAGGCGACACCATTACAGCTTCTCTGCTCTCAACAATGGCGTCCTCCTGGAGTGAAATTTCATCATCCATTACTGTAAGAAGACCAGTCAAGCAAAGCTTCTGCGTTTCACAAATTTGGAGGATCGGTTTCGCTACTCCCGGGAAGAAGAAATGCAGGAGGGTGCAAGAGAATTCGCTTCCTTGAGCAAAGAGGAAATGAGACGAAATTTGGAGGTTTTCTGTTTCGGGGTGTAGTCCGTACTGCATGAACGTGCAGGTTTTCCGATTTTGGATGCTTCTTGCGGACCGATGACGCATCAGTATCAGCATCTGTGGGCTGTGGCTGATAAGTAGCAACAAAAGGAGGATTCGGGAAACGAAGGAAAATAAAAATAAAAAAAAGATTAATTTTTCTATAACAGATTATATTATTTTTTTAATTACCACTTCGTCAATCTAACTGGTTCAATCGATCAAAAATGGAAACGTGGAGAGTGGGTTTACCTGTAAAACTTGCTCAGCACTCTTCACTCCCATTCCATATTCACACTCTTCACTCTCTGAGAAATGTGGAAGATCAAACAACCACTGGAACCGACGGAGAAGGAGCCATTATCCACCGCCATTGTCGAAGTCAGAGAAGAGACTATGATCTCTCTGCTCGGCGGTGAAGCAAGCCCTAGGAACAGGATTGCCCATTTCCAGAAACCTTCCGGCCCTCCCTTTCTTCATTCAAAGCAACGATCTTTGAGACTCCCTCCCCCGATATCATCTCCCTAAAACCCTCGGGACAAGGCATTTCTTTTGCTGGATGGAGATTGGAGGCACAGGTACGGAACAAGAAATTGGAAGTTGGGAGAAATCCGGCCTCCACGAAATCAAAAGAGATGGTGTTATAAGCCCAACACTTCAGTTTTTCCCATGGGGTGAAGGCGTGAAGCTACTGTGACTTTGGCGGATATGGCGGTTCTCTGTGTTAGGGTCTCCTGTTTTTCGCCCGTGAAGCAGAGCTGGAAGAGTTGGGACAGGGTCTTAGTATGGTGATGACCGATATGTTGCGATCCAAGTCTAAGAAGGCAGTAGTTGGAAGCTGGTTAAAGAAATTAGAAACAGTGAGAGCTTAATCAAGCACGAAGCCTTTATGGTGACATGGCTTTCCAGGTTCGTTTTTGCCAATTTTCAAAACAATAGAATCTGTTTCAGCATTACAAAAACTCAGGCCAGCAGCACTTATTCCAGCGGAGGTGTCGAAATTTGTTCAAGCTAAAATCACTAACATCTGACGGTACAAAGTGTTGAAAGTTTTACTAGGGGGGCTTGCAGTGTACATTCCATCCGCGGCCTCGACCAGCTCACCAAGAAGCCTTTTTCACACCATTCAACATTCCTTGATTTGCCAGTGTGCGGAAGACAATACGAGACATTCTGAAGAACTCGTAAACACCGCGAGGGCGACCGGAGAAGACACACCGATTTCTGATTCGTGTGAAGGAGCTGTTTCTCGGCAACTTGGACAGTTTGGCAGTGAGCTTCTCACGCAATTCACTTGGAAGCTCGGGATCTCTGATGAAGGCCTTGTACAGGTTTCTCTTCAGCTCAAATTTCTCTGCCAGCAACCGACGGTTGTGATCTTTTATACACTTTGGCTCATCCTCCCACATCTTAACGGTCTTCGAATCTGAACACAATCACCCGCAATAGAAAGGTAGAGTCAAGCGTCCTCTACTTGGAAGACAAAATGCTTCATATGATCACAGACCAAGAATCGTGAAATAGATGAATATATTTATGCATTGCAATCTTATCCATATTGAAACTCATTCCCAGATCACAATTTCAGTGGTATAGCGACTTCAGTTGGGGATCTTAGTTTATCTATCCATTATTCTAGCATATACTTTTGCAGCCAAAGAAAACTGCCTCCACAAATGACATCAAAAGGGTCCCAGATTTGTTGAAACGAAGAGTACTCCAAATTGAGAAATCACAGTTTCAGGGATTATGACTTCCCTTTTCAGAAGAGTTGGAAGACAAAAACTATGGTAATGTGAGAAATCAAAAGCCTGTGGCTGAGGATTTTAAGAATTCTAGAAGCTGAAATCATAAACTCTTGTGGTTACTCATCACACCGAAAACAATGGTCCACGACTATGAGAAACATAATGTACAAATAAGGAAAATGATTTTTGTTGGACAAATAGCATTATTTACTGAACTCAAACGTTCTACTTTGAACAAGTATTTAAGTACAAGGACAAGTGCAGACAATGTTTGATTCTAAAGAGCAGCTTAACGAAGTTCCACAAGTGGTGAAAATTTTATCACATTCCATAGTCATCAAAAGAGGATAAGTTAACTTATCCCCATCCTCCCTCAAACCATGACCTATTGGCCGATTCCATAGCATCAAACAATGCTGAACTCGCAACCAACAATCTCGACAGATTTGTACAACACAAAATATCTTACATTAAATATAGCGAACCTATTCCAGAAAGTAGCAGAGCATGTAGAGTGTTCGTATAGGAATACTGACGCAGCTATAGGCTAGAATCAAGGAAATAGAGTCTTAACTTAGAACTCATCAATAAGTAAGTACCTCAACTCATCAATCAAAACATACGGTAATTAGCGTGGCTGAGCAGGGGACTATAAGGGGAGATCAAAAGGGACACAAACTACAAACCTTTCTGAATGATCATATCGCTAGCTTACATTCAACAGGAATGAAAAGAAATGTAAGATGGAGGACCCAAATGCAGTGGTCAATAGGGTATTTCGTGCCAAAAGCACATCATACTTGCGAGGCCGAGCTAAATACCTCCCATCCTCCAACCTAGTTCATCAAACAACACCCACCAACCCCTATTTTCTCAAATTCGAATTGTATTCATCCAAAGAGAAAAGAAAGCAAGTTCTCTAAGGTGAGACTAGATATAGGCTTATGGTCCAAGAAAACGAGAAACTAACGATTTCAACCGAGGAATTCACTTCCGTCTAGGCAAAAAGGCGAACTTCGATCACAGCTATACAGCAATCGTGGCTCCTACAGGAAACAAGAACGGAAAAGCAAACGGAGGGAAGTTCACAGCAAATGAAAATTAGAATAGCGGCCACTTACGGTAGGGATCCGGCGCCGGCGATTGGAGTAAAGCGAGCTAAGGTCCTAACTTCCGGCGCTGAAACCTCGCCTTAAGCTTCGAACGCTGCAAACTGATTTCGGAATGGAAGCCCTAGTTCGTGGCAGACCGCAGACGAGACAGACGAGACGAAGGGAAAGGACTGAGGAGAGTAGAAAGAAACTAGAGAAACTAGGAAATGCTTGAGGTCCAGTCCAAGTTGAGCAAAAGGACAGCTCGTTTTGCGTTCTTACATGATGCAAGTGAATTGGGTCCCATTTGAGTTCAGAAAATGCCCAAGCCCAAGCCAAACTCTAATTTGTCTACTAGACGACCAGGCCTCAAGCTCGCAATGTTGTGTTGACCGTCCAAGCTCCCCGCCGGGATAGGGTTCCCAAAATGGTCCACCCTATGTAGGGATGGCAATTTGGGGTATCATCCATCTACAAAGTATATAATAGAGATTCATGCTCTTGATTTTCAGCTTTTTGAAATTGCTGGTCCAGTGGTCCGAGAGTGTTCTGTGGAAGGACATTGCAAACATTTCACAATTAATTCTGATCTGCGTTTCATGTTACAAAACATCAAAACCCAGCCCTACTTCCAGCCTGTGGGAGAAGGAATAGCCCAATTAACTTGGGCCTGACTTTCTTTCCTCCCCACGAAGCCTTCAGCCCTTCACGGCTTCACTGAACCCTCACATCTACCGCACCGGCGAACTCATTCCAACTATTTTCCTCTTCTGTAACTCATCGTCTTCAGCTTCCCCTCCAACAGTTGTTGGAGAAAAACCACCTGTGTAGTAGAAGATCAGAATCAACACCTCCCTACTGAAGACGTTGATTAGGTTAGTTTGTTCGACTTATATTCATTGATTCCTCCTACTCCATCTCCAACCTCGATTCATCTTCCCCTTCACCGACCCCTCCAGTAGCCGTTGAAGAAGAGTCCAGCTTTGGAGTAGAAGATCGAAATCAATGTCTGCCTGCTGATGAGAAATTAGCGTACGCCTACGGACGAGAACTGGAATTGAAAGAGGGAAATCAAAGGGCGTGAACTAAACTCGAATTTAGGAGCAACTGAAATCGAATTTGGGATTGGAAGTTCACCCATAATTGGAATCGGAAGAGGGAAGAGGTTTTTTTTTATGAATACAGCACTAGAGTGTTTAAACGGATTGGTTACCATGGTAACCATATTAACCGGTAGTATTCGGTTAATTTGGTTTGGATAATTGGTTTGGGTTGGTTAAACAATTTAGCTTATCTAGTTTAGGTGGTTTGGTTTGGCTTCAACACTACTAACCAATGAAACCAATTAACCAATTAATGATACACCTAATATACAAAATTATTTATACTTCCATGCAACCAACCAAACCAAATTTTAGTGATTTCCTATATTATTTCCATGTGCACGACATACCAAAACATTATGGGTCAAAAATTGAAGGGGTTTGTCTATCTACTAAACCAAAACATTTTGGACAGCTACTAGACTTGAGGATTACGTACAATACCATGATAGCCACTTCAAACTATGAATAGTTTAAGTGTTTTGTAGGAGGGCTTTAACTTCCTCATGAGGGGTATTGGTATGTTTTTGTGTTAAGGGATTTGTTGTAATCTAACTATATTAGGTGCAGAGATGATGAATGATGTATTAACTCGAATGATGATGATAAATTGATAATAATGAATAGTTAGTCTTATTATTGTTGCTTATATATAATGATAGTTTATGATAATAACAACATATGGTTATGTTTATTCATTAACAAGATAATTGTTTTCATGTAATGTTATGTTATTTAGTTAATCCGATTAACCAAACCAATTAAACTTTGGTTTGGTTAATTTGGTTTTCGTGTTAATTTGGACGGTTTGGTTAAGACATTTTATTCCATGGTTAATGAAATTTAGACTTAATTGGTTTGGTTATTACCACAGTAACCATTTGAACACCCCTATACAACACATGACATATGGTTTTACCTGTCGACTTCGGGAGTGGTCCTAAAGCCTAATTATATATATGTACCATAACATTAAATGTATAAGTTTAGTTTGTACCATAAAGGAATTTGTACGATTATGTTATAGTACAACTTTAAAACTTGCAGTTGTACCAGCACATAAATGTATAAGTTCAAGTGGTACCATAAAAAAATGTGTACAAAAAGTATAGATACAATCTAAAGTTGTACCATAACGTTAAATGTACAATTTTAAGTTGTACCATAAAGACAAATACTAATAACACCAATGCTATATAGCATTGTAAAATTCTTCTATAATAAACAATGTCCTCTATAATAAATTCACATGATATAAATTGGTCTTAATATATCATAATAATTAAATTTGGGAGAAGATAGTATAACAACACTCTATTTATTGTCACCGTAACAACACGATTCATTAAGAGCAAAACTTGAAACTTACAATAAAAATAAAAAATAACCATGTACGCGTTTCCTCCTCCGTTCTGTTCTCCATCGTTGTCGTTCTCCTCCGGCTGCATATGAGATCCCCAAATTTCAACTCTCCTCCGGCGGAGAAACCCTACTCCGGCGCCGGCGAATGTCATGTACACAGAGACCGATTCTTCTCCAACGGCGTTTCTCCTCCGCATCTCATCATCGATGGCTGATTTGCTCGGCACTTGAATCGCGGCTTGCGAGGCGGTGATGACGAAACCTCACAATGATGAATCAACTGTCTCAGACGAGGAACAACATAAAAGTTTCTTCTGCTCCATCGATCGTGATTGACGGAATCTTCTCCGCATCATCCGCTGCGCCTTCTCCCATCATTGATTGAAGGATCGGCAGCCAGAAATGGAATCCCCTCACCTAAGGGGAGAAGGCAAGGACGGTAAGTGTGAGAGTTGGCAATTGGGATGGGGTTTGGTGTGTCAAGAACCAGTTGCTCCCAATAACTCGAGTTGTTGGGAGAAGGTTCTGCTGGATCTTATACCACTCTCTAACACGCCCCCTCAAACGAAAGCCAACCCATGGGCTTGAAGTTTGCACAGGCCCACCATACCATGTGCTTGAAAGACAACGGTTAATATTGGGGGTCGTGGAGATTCGAACACATGACCTTTCGGTTCTAGGCTCTGATACCATGTCAAGAACCAGTTGATCCCAATAACTCGAGTTGTTGGGAGAGGTTCAATCGTGGTTCATATACCACAACACTAACACGCCCCCTCAAACGAAAGCACTCACAAGGGCTTGAAGTTTGCACAGGTCTGAAGACAAGAATACCATGTGCTTAACAAATGGGGTCATCGGGAATCGAACACAAGACCTCTCGGACACAGAAGGCTCTGATACCATGTCAAGAACCAGTTGCTCCCAATAACTCGAGTTGTTGGGAGAAGGTTCTGCTGGATCTTATACCACTCTCTAACATGGTGGAGGTGGTGGGAGGAAAGGGTGCAGTGGCGGTGGGATGGGTAGATGCAATGGGAGGGCTACGAGCTGGAGTTTTGGCCAACAGTGGCGGAATTTGGAGAGTGAACGTTTGGGGATGGTGGCGGCTTCTTCTTCTACGCCATCGTCTGTTCTTCCAACTGGAGAGTACGAGGTTTTCTTGAGCTTTAGGGGTCTCGACATTCAGAATAGAATAATCTTTTCGAGTGATCTAAGATTATTTATTCTATTACCCATTTGATGATTAGTGACGATTCAAGAAGCTAAATTCTTTACAGAAATTCGCTAAAACATATAAAAAACCCCACAAAGGAAACCATAAATATTTTGAAAAGCACACAAAAACCCCCTAATGCAAACCACAAACACGGTAAACCAACCAAAAAACGTCCTAATGCATACCACAAATATATAAAAACAAACCAGAAACCTCGCAAAGCAAACCACAAAAGTTTCGAAAGCACACCAGAAACTTCTTAATGCAAACCAGAAACTTCCGAATGCATACCACAAATCTCTTAAAACAAATCAGAAACCTCACAATGCAAACCACAAAATTTTCGAAAGCAAACCAGAAATCTCCTAATGCAAACCACAAACACAATAAATCACATCACAAAAGAGCAAACCATAAACGTCCTAATGCAGACCACAAATATATTAAAACAAACCAGAAACCCCTCAATGCAAACCACAAAATTTTTGAAAGCAAACCAGAAACTTCTCAATGCAAACCAGAAATTTCTCAATGCAAACCACAAACACGATAAAGCAAACCAGAAACTTCTCAATGCAAACCACAAACACGATAAAGCAAACCACAAAAGGCATACAAAAATATGAGAAACCAAACCATAAATCTCACAATGCAGACCATAACATCCGTTGGTCGTTGACCGTTGACCGGTCAACGAAGTTCGTTGACCAAACTCCGATGATCGTCAGTGAGTAGATTTCGGCGCCGATAGGAATATTCCGGCCCCGATGACTAGATTCCGATGCCGGTAAGCATATTCCGACCACGGTGAGCATATTCCGGCGACTGTGAGCATATTCCGATGACAAAATATCATATTCCGGCGACAAAAAAACATATTCCGGTGACCGGCGACCAGATTCCGGTGACCGAATTCCGGGGCGACCAAAATTTTGGGCCGAAAATAAAAAAAAAGTTTTTTTTAATTATTTTTTATTTTTTTATTATTATTGAAACATATTTTTCATAATGACAATTATACCCCTGTTTTGATTTTACACTAGGTCAACTCATCTAATAAAAAGTCATCACAATCCTACCTTCCTATTGGTTAGAGACTAGTGTTATTACAATAACAACAAATATGGTGTTGTCACCATATCCGATCCCATTAAATTTCGTTTATAATTAAGATTCTCTCTAAACGTGTTGTTACGCGATGCAGAATTAGTAAAAACCAACTCCCGTCAATTTGACTCCTTTAAAACTCTAATTCTTCAATTATTTGTGCCCGTAACGTTAGTTTCTTTACCTGATATAAATTGGTCTTATTATCCTATAATAATTGAATTTCATTTATAACTAAGTTTCTCTCTAAACATGTTGTTACGCAATGCTTTGTAGTTTTGTTGATCAATATGCATCTCTTTCCTCATTTGAATCATTAATTCACAATTCAATCGCAATTCTTTGTATGGTTTTCATTTTTGTCTTTGTTTGGGATTGTCCAACTCTACGTCATGATTTGAATATATTTCATTAAAAATATAAATTGTTATACTCTTACAGGATATTTATGATAAGTGAATTATGACATTGACCTGAACATGATGCATTTTGTCCAACTAACTATGTGTGACAACTTTGCATCATTTTTTATATATTTCAAATCACGCAACTCCATATTCATTACGTCTAATATGATTAACAATGATGATCTCTATTGGGAAGAGCACTTCATGGACATACGGGAATATATAAGATGCAAATAATTTTCTTTCATCATAATGAAACAACTCCATAATAAACTATATGGGTCTACTTAAGTAGCAAAACTTTTTATATAAAATGTGAAATACTAATAGTTGTATTTATTTGTTACTTATATAATGCTTTGTGAATAACTATCATAGAAAACACGCATTATATATGTTTCCAATATATATATATATTATCTATAATTATCCGAAATTTCCCGGCCAGTAGGCCGTTACTGGCCGGGCTCAGTGCTAGTTCGATATGATTCATATTGAGGCGACTATTATTCGATTCACAATAGTTAGAAGGGGACTACATGGATTACTACTTACGGACTTGTCTCATTCTTGATATGTATTATCTTTTAATATATTTGCATTTTTGTACGAAATTTAAGCTGTCAATTATTTTGAATCAATTATTCATTCTAACCCATTAAGTATTTTTCTTTCTTCACATAATGTGACAACTAGTCAACTTGCCCCATTCTAACCCATTAGCAACGTGAGTATTATCCGATCTGACCAACACTTGGTACAAAGTGAATATGAATATTGAGAAACTCGCTCCGCTCCGCCCGCGCCATCCACCAACCACCAGTACCACAACAAGACTGGTGCCAGCTTATAACACCACAATCCAAATTAGATCAGAGTAAACTAAAGTACATCTACTAGATAGCAGAGATCAAGATGTAAAACTTCCAAATAATTTAGCTTCTGGTGATAATAAGTTATGATGTTGGGGTATCATCTACAAGCAGTATGTTGGAGCGTTAGAAGGCCGATACACAAATGGTCTAACGCTGTGAGAATATCCGGATGGCTTGTTGTAACTGAACTTCAGTCCTCTGCTAGAAGGCCCCAGTTGGTTGCAGTGGTCGTGAAAGCTGCTTATAGGTCTGGCCAAGCATGCATCCCAACGGTCGCTTTCGGACATGGTTTCTGCAACCGTGTACATCCCTTTGGCATTTGTAAATGCTTGATAGTTGACTACTTCCCCTGACTTGGTTATGCACAGAACAGCTACTTCAGCACCTGCAGTTTTTTAAACAAGGTTCAAAGATCAGCAGCTGCATCTCCCAAGTGTGAACGAATCGCAGTGAAGAAGATACAACTAACTAACTCTATATGTTCTCTTCAAGTGCCGGCCAAAACCAATTCGTTCTTTCGGCCAAATGACTGACAAGTAGCAAGCAAAGGGTTTTAAAACAGCCGAAAGAATGAATAATCTAACATTCTGCCTTTTCACATGACGTGCTGCAAGAGACTTCGGTTTGGAGAGTATGCGAAAGCATCTCAATCGATTGCAAATCCACAAAGAAGAGGCTCAATATCTCTAGAACAAAAAGCCTAAACATTAGACAAGAGGACGGTTTGAAAGGGCTGGTCAAGAGAGGAAGATAAAGGCAACCACTTTACTCCATAGAATCAATCATGTACAACAAGAAGACTGCGGGTACATAAACCACAATGGCTTCTCTGCATCCAGATATGCTAGTGTATCTAAATGTTGCTAAGAAAACCCCACAAGTTAAAAGTGAGAGTAGAATACATCACCCTTTCAAATCTCATTGTTTCTGTAACATTTCAATGTAGAAAATGAACGCACTGCAACCTTGTTCTGAAAGGTTTAGAACCCATCTTGAGGCTATTTGCAAAAGAACACTGAACTGAAACTACAGCACCCCTCTTTCTCACTTTAAAAGACTAACCAAAGACTAGAATCAAATACTCTAACACACATTTGTGAAACAATTACAGCTCTTGTTTCGAAGACACAGCTAAACAGCTCATTAGACACTAAGCTTAGGAACCACAGATGGAAAGCAATTATTACATCAAACTACTAATCAGTGTTCATTCTGTAGCATCAGCAGGCAACTCTTTCAAGAACCCAGATATAGTTGAAAACCAACTTGGTCAGATATTCTAATACAGTACAGGGACATAAGGAAATTGGCAAAACCGAACTCCCCAAATTGAAGCATAGAAGGTGCCAATTCCATCCAAAGTCCCACAGGAATCAACGTTAACCACGAGAACCACCTGAATCGAAGCAAGAAAGGGAGCTACAGACCTTCCAAGACGTGATCCTCTGGCCCAATGGAGGAATCCCCACACACATCACAAACAACTCTTCCACGGATTTCGCCAGTCCAAGCACCGACGCCGGGAACGGAAGCCGCCGCCATTAGAAGTACAGCCGCCGCCATTAGAAGCTTCCTCAGCATCATAATCTGCTGCTGCTGCGACGTTGGTGACACCATGGCTGCTCCCCACGGTGTTTCCTCAGCTTCACTTGGAAATTGTCTTTTGCCCCTTTTGACTGCGTCGTCGGTGGGAAACGGGAATGGGATCGCCAGTTTGCCACTCTACTCACGCGTCCTTCTTTCATTTGAAGCATCTGATATTTCGGAAAAATAGCAGAAGACCCCCCGAATTTCAATAGTATGTCACTTCACATCCTCCTTATTCCGAAAGCGAAACCTTTTACCCTTTATGCCTTCAAAAAAATGCTTAACGTGGGCCCTGGGTGCTGAATTGGCGAGATCCCATTGGCGAAGAGGACGTGTTCAGTGCAAGTAATGTACGGCCATCAACCGAATCCTTTGAGATTACAGTACCACCCTGGCTATCGCGCCGATTTATACATCCCTCCTTAGGGCATTATCGTCAATTCCTCACAAACAGGAAGAAAACCGTTGCAGGAAATAGGGAGGGAGTTTCGGGGTGGAAGAAAAGAGGATCGGCGATTCTCCGATTCGATTCCAGGCGTCCCAAAAATGGAGGTTTCCGCAGCTTAGAAGAAGAACAAGTTGAGTTTTCGTCTTTGATTTCTTCCCTCTCTCGCCCCTCGGAGAAAATGAAAGCCTGGGCGAAGCAGCTGAAGAGGTCGTTCGGGGCCTCATTTCTATGGCTCGTTTGCTTGATTTACTTCACTCAGGTTTTTGCTCTCTTCTTCGTCCTTTCCCATGGTGTGGCTTTCGTGTTGAGTTTAGATTCTTGAGAATTGTTAGATGATATGACCATGTTAGTGATTTTTGGGTCTAAATAGTTCTGCGTTCCGGTTTGTTTGGTTTGGAACAATGTACTGCTCATCTTTGGGATTAATTTCTGTCAGAGCGCTGTCATTTCTTCTGCACTCTTGTAGCTTGTGGAAATGCCCCTGAGAATTCGGAGAGGAAGGTAGGAAGGGGATGGGGCTTGTTGGTGAGAATATGGAGTAATGTTGAACCATCCTTGGTTATCTACTACGGAGTAACACCGTCTATAATCATCTCATCTCATTGCCGTTTTCATATTATAACTGAAGTTTAAATTTCTGGGATAAACCATTCTTTATAAAGCTAGTGGCTAGTATGATCACCTACCAGTGTCCCAGCTATGTAGTTCATGTCGACAACATATGACTTTTGCTCCTGCTGCCGATATGCGAAACATTTTCTTCGTTAAGTATGATATCCAAGTAAATCGTGGAGTTCTCTCTACCACTTTCCTTAGTTAGCCTGATTCTAGTGAATTGGTAGTAGATCTTTGTGAATTGAAGGGCCAGGAGGGACTCCTATGTGATAACTGGTTTTTTACTCTGGATATGGCATTTGATTTTTTTGCTTATTATGCTTCTTTCAACTTATCTAATTTGCCCCAAATTTGAGTTCATAATATGATTCATATATCATACTTGCTCTGTTAAACTGTTGAATGCAGGGTTTCAGATCATTTGTATGGACAGCAGTTTCCTACCAGCTGAAAGACAAGCTTAAACTGTCACCATCAGCCTCCCAGTTTGTGTCTTCAGTAGCATTTTTCCCATGGAGCATTAAACCGCTATATGGGTACTGTTCTTTACTCTATTTCATGTGGATCCGTGATAGAGAATGTAGCCTCAGCTCTTGATGTGCGGTGATGCTAAAAGCAAGTACCCACACAACTTCCAGGCCCATCTTAAAAGAAAGAAAATAAGAGTAGCTATAAATGTGGGCGATGTGTCACTTTTTGCAGTTTTTGTGCTTATGTACTGGTTTTACAGTTTATATATAAGCATCTACTGTTATGTACTCTGAGTTCAGAAAGCTGATGTTTGTGCGAAACTTATGAATGATCGGGGCTCAAATTGATTTCTATCTCTTGACATAACCCAGGTGGGCGGATGGTTTCCTTCATATATTTGGCGACTTAATCAACTGAGAACATTAAACCTTTAGTTTGCATGTGTGGTTGTTTCCAGTTAAATCACAGAATCAAGGAATATAAACTTTTCACATTATCTACAATCTTAGACTTACTTCAGGGTTTTAATGACATCTCTATTGCAGAATAGTATCTGATTGCATCTCCATTAGAGGAAGAAAGAGGATACCGTACCTCATAATTGCCACCATCCTCTCTCTGGTGCCATGGCCGATATTAGGCCTGAATGCAACTTTCAGGAACTCAAGCTGGCATCTCATGGTCTTGTTGACAGCACAAAACCTGGGTACTGCTATGGCAGATGTTGTGGTTGATGCAATGATTGCTGAGGCTGTGCGTTCTGAGAAGTATGTGAATCTGACTTGTCTGTATCTCTTTATCCATAGAGAATTCAAATCGTTAATGTGTATGTATTTGCAATGGACCTTCCAGTTCTGAATGTTTGCAGCTAGTACAAGTTGTCTGTTTCTTATACTACCAGTGATTTAGTGTATGAATCTGTTAACATAGAAATAAAGCATCATTCCCTATACTTGCTTCAAGAAAGACCTTGATGCGTTTTAAGTGGTTCTGCTTTGTCTTTTTATTTCTTGTACTAACATGATCTTAATTATTTTTTAACTGAGCAGGGCCTCGTTTGCAGGAGATCTGCAGTCACTTTCTTGGTTTTCAATGGCTCTGGGTGGTATATGTGGAAGTCTATTGGGAGGATATGCATTATCCAACTTACCAATCGACAAAATTTTCCTTCTTTTCACTGTACTCCCCGCAATACAGCTTTTCTCCTGTGTTTTGGTTGAGGAGACTCCTGTAAGCAGTGGGGATGTTCCTACATCTGAAGATTTAGGTGATTCCCATGATATGAACGGAAATAGTCCTTCTGACGAGGACAGTTACTTTATGAGGAAGTCCAGCTCAACTATCTCCAAGAGGAAGAAAAGCAAAAAAAGGGGCAAAAAGAAGAGATTTAGCAACAAATCGCAGTTCGTTGAGAAAGAGAATGCTGGAAGATTAGGTTGGTACTACTCGTTGAAATCAGCTACTTACAGCTTGTTACAAGCTTTCAGGAAGCCGATCATACTAAGGTAATTAATTATATAGTCCTTCATGCTTGGTAATTCCAAACTTCACTCTCTCCTTCTCTTAAAAGATACAATAATATTATCATTCTAATCATTTTAGTTTTTGATTATTGTAATTCAGACCGATGGCATGGTTCTTTCTGGCACACATCACTTTCCCCAACCTCTCAACAGTCATGTTCTATTACCAGACAGAGTTCCTGAACTTGGACGCAGCTTTCTTGGGGACTACTCGTGTCATTGGCTGGTTAGGCCTCATGCTTGGGACTTTCGTTTACAATCGACACTTAAAGACCATGAAACTAAGAACGATTCTACTGTAAGCAGCACCACATTAATACTTGTTTTTTTTTATCAAACGTGTTCATTCTTTCTGAACTGCTAAAGAGCTGTTTTCTTTCTCCTTTTCCTGAATGCACAATGCAGATACACACATATCGGGTTGTCCTTGTTGAGTCTCCTGGACATTGTTCTTGTCTCCCGAATGAATATTGCCTATGGGATAACGGATAAGCATATGGTCCTCGTTGGATCTGCTCTTGCTGATGCAATTAATCAGTTCAAGTACGCCACTTACTATTACTACTCCAAGTTTTGTTTCTCTTCTCTGCCCTTGTTATTATTGTTTCCATTTCAAACTGGCTTTCTTCCCTGTGTAGGTTCATGCCATTCCTGATTTTATCGGGACAGTTGTGCCCACCAGGCATTGAAGGAACCCTATTTGCCCTCTTCATGTCTATCAACAACTTTGGTTCCACAGTTGGGTCGTTTGTTGGTGCTGGATTGGCTTCCTTCCTCAACCTCTCATCAGGATCTTTCGACAATCTCCTTCTGGGCATAGCGATCCAAGTTGCCTGCATCTACATTCCTGTCCTTTTCCTGTTCCTAATACCGAAAGAAGCTACTGGGGTATCAGCATAGAGTATTATAGTCAACTCACCATTACCTAACTATACAGCACACCTTATTTTTGGGTCGGAAGAGAAAAGTTGTGTTGTTCATCATCAACATCAAGTGCGGGAAGCTTAGTGTTTTAACGTTCGAGAACTTCCGAGGATGTTGCTGCTTTTGATCTGTAGTCATCACAGGTAGAATTTCAGCAGATATATTGTAAACGCAGAAGTTTCCATGTTAAAAGTAGCCGAACTTTGTGTTGTTTCTCATGAGATTCTTCATCAAGAAACAGTTTATTTGGGATTGACTAATCCTTTATTAGATAAAATAGCTGGCCTGGCCCCTTGTTTATTTTCCAGAGTGTGAATGTGGAACTTTTGGGGAGGAAATAGGAATTGCAAAGAAGTTGGTGCTAAAACATGGAAAAACGATGTGAAACTTTAGGGTAGCAAATATAAATTACCGAAAAGTTTGGGCTGCAAACTGAAAAAACTTATAGAGATGGAAGAAATAAAAAAACAATATATCAGAGCCTGGTTTCGATCCAGGGACCTGTGGGTTATGGGCCCACCACGCTTCCGCTGCGCCACTCTGATAATGTGATTACTCTTAGCCAATGTTTATATATATTAGTTCACTTGTCTGTAACAGCTTATGAGAACACGAACCGGCGAACCAATTTCCCAGCTACGAGGAAAGCTTTTTGCAAGAGAACGAAAATGAGACGGCGACCAGGAATTGGCGGCCTACAAACGGCAGCCACTGCTAGGGTTCATTCCTCTTTGTTTGATACCCATGGATTGATTTTCTGTTTTCATTTTGCTTAGTGCCCAGTATATAATCGTTCTTTGTCATGTCTATGTTTCGATTTTTCTTTCCCCCAATTCAAAGGATCAATACCGGCTACTGGGTGAAAATGTAGCCAAGCTAAGAACCGACCTTATGAAAGAGCAGCTCGCCACTTTCCGTTCTCAGTTGGAAGATTTTGCCCGCAAACACAAGGTAAGGAATCTGCCCTCCTCAATCTTGGTGCATTTTGTGGCAAAGGTGTCGAATTTGGTTTCTGGGCAATCAGCAATTGTTAAAGCTTTGATTTTTCTGTGTTAGATTACTGATCTGTAATCGTGGGTGGCCGTAAGGTGTGTGATTGAGGGTTATTGTTGAACTTTTATGCTTGGTTGTGGAAGACTGGAAGCTTTCGCTTTGTACAAATCATATTGTTTTAATCCGACTTAGTGACTGAGTTCTTCTGCTAGCATGTTAGAAATTTCACAAATCGGCTTGGTCCTGGTGTGTGGAATGTGCTGTTTCTCACTGCAATCATCCACTTCATATTTCTTTACCCTTATTTGAAGATCACAGTTCAATCAAATTTCATCTTCTGCTAGATACTAAGTTCCGGTGTGAAGAATCATTCATCTCTTCTTCGGGTCCTCTTGAGATAGAGTTGTTGCTTCTTGGGAAGATTTACCCCAGCTGAATTCCTGTCACTATCCTCATCTTCAGAATCGTTCATGCATATTAGTGCTTCTTAGCTTGACATACCCAAGCCATAATCAGAATATATTGTTTTCGTCGTTTGTGTGAGCCCTAGTGAGCTTGTTTTTCATTTCCGTTTCATTCAGCTAAAGAGCCCAAGTCTCCCTTGATGCAGTAGTGAACCAACCAGCTCCAGACCTGTTTAATGGCCTTACTGACACGTCATTCTTAATGCTCTCATTCTTCTCCTTCATTTCACTCATCATTTTTCTCAATCACAAATAATGTTGCAGCTCATAATCTGGCATGATGTATTGCAGAATGACATTCGCAAGAATCCAACATTTAGGGCGCAATTCCATGAGATGTGTGCTAAGGTAGGAGTGGATCCTTTGGCCTCTAATAAGGGATTCTGGGCAGAGCTGCTAGGAATTGGTGACTTCTATTATGAACTTGGTGAGTCTTGAACTTATTGGTTATTTATGTAAAATAGTGTGTGGATTGGAAGAGCAAGAGAGAAAGAGTGCGTGGATAAGAAGTCTCTGTTATAAGATTCTTGTTTTATACGGTTGAGAACCCAGAAGTACGGAGAATCTGATACTGGTTGTACTATTTTGCTAAGGCAGGGGTACAAATTGTTGAGATATGTTTAAACACGAGACCTCATAATGGAGGTCTGATAAACCTGCAAGAGCTCTGCGATCTACTTCGCCAGAGGAGGAAAGGTGATCGCGGAGCTGTGACTGAGGATGACTGCTTGCGTGCTATAAGTAAACTTAAGGTCTGTATCTAGTAATCAGAACTTACCCTTATTTTGTTCCCAACAACCCTTCTCGGTGAAATTTTCCCAAGTGATTAATGTCCCTGGCATTGCTTCTTTGTTGCCTAATTTGCTTATTAGTAAAAACTAAAAACTGCTTGAATATGTCAGGTAATGGGAAGTGGTTTCGAGGTTATATCTGTTGGCAAGAAGAAGTTAGTTCGGTCTGTGCCAACAGAACTGAACAAAGACCATAATGCAATCCTGGAGTTGGCTCAGGTTTCCTCTCCTATTCCCCTGCCTCCTAATACTGCCACCATTTTCATCAGGACTCATAATTTACACACTCGTCTACATCGTCCCCTTTAGGCTCAAGGCTTTGTAACTGTTGATGGGGTGGAAAGGCGGCTATCTTGGACAACCGGGAGAGCCATAGATGCCTTGGATACACTATTAGAGGTGAAGCTCCTGCTGCTATTTGCCTCACTCGTTTCGTTTGTTCTTCTAGAACTAAATAGAGTTGGTATCTTACGATTCCTATTGAATGACGCAGGAAGGGCTCGCCATGATTGATGATGGCCACCGGGATGGCAAGCGAAGATACTGGTTCCCCTGTGTCTCCTCCATCTCCTCTGCAGTTGGGGACTGACATTTTGACACTTTATGTTTGCCTCAAACAATAAAAAAGAAACAATGGTCTGTTTGGTCGATCAATTTCACTTTTGTTTCATCTTTCTAGTCCATGCTTGGATGCACAATGTTGTACAAACAATTTCAACTTCACGAATAATGCGAATACAGGAACCAGAAGAATTACAATGTAGACTATAGTAATTCAGTATAGCTATGCAACTACCAGAAAGAGCAATTCAACTTCAGATTGTGATCTCGGCATCCTCGTCTTCTGTCCAGGCAGAGTTGGGGTCACTCCAGGACCTAGGTTTCACCCCTAGCTTGAAGTAAACCACCATCTCCAACACCTCGAACACCTTATTCCTGTCCAGCAAGTCATTCCATATCCCACTCACTATACAGTAGTTGTTGTTGTACGGCGGTCGGTGGTGATCAGCGTGCTGCCCCCTGGACACCAGAACTCCAGCATCCTGCAATGCCACCACCGCTGCCGGCAGCTTGCTTTTTCGTACTATGAGCCCAAGCGTGAAACTGCTGGCTGAACATAATGCACCCGGAGAACATCCCCACAAAGCCAAGCACAACAGGGTCACTGCACACCAGCTCCACAGGAAGCACTGAGAACGCCACGACACGAGCCAGGGAGTGCAGGTTGTTGGCGAATTCGCGCCTGGTAATCGTCCATGGCCACTTGTGGTGACCCTGGAAGGCCTCGATTTGAGAACCGAACCCTGGCGTCGATGCATCGCCGTAGTTGTCAATGCCCCAGTGGTACACTCCCGAGCCAAGATCAGCCAGGATGTAACCCATGTACCCCGCGAGCACTGGCTCGAGCCAAATGTGCACGCTAGCTGCACCGACGGCAGCCTTGGCGAGGGAGAAGAGCACGGTAGCACATCCTGTTTGCAACCCATCCACGGTGGGACCATGTTGACTTCAAACCGGGGTCGTTGGCGGTGAGAGGGATTACCGGTGGAGCTCTGCTGACACGCTGTGGTTGGGAGACTAAGTGGTTGGAGTTGGGATTGTCCTTGATCAAGGTGCAGGTGATTGTGGTGATGGAGGTGGCATATCGAATCGGAATTACACGGTGGTGGTGGTGGAAGCCTTGGCCGGGGGAGGACCTTGAGAGGAACTTGTGGTGTTGTAAGCTAGACATGGGAAGGAAGAGAAGGAAGCTGGTGGTGGAGTGGTTGCTTGAAAATGGTGTTTGGCAATTTGGATGGAAAGGGTGGGAAAATATGGGTGGCGAGAAAGAGAAGTCGTGGAGGGAATTGAATTGTGAGAATGGAGAAGTTTGTGGTTGGGCAAGAGGTTACGTGGTCCTACGAATTGATATTGGTGCTCCCACTTGCAGGTGATGAGCTGCTCCGTTTGATTCAGATTATCTCTGCACATGAGTCATGACATGATAGCATTCAATATTTTTCCATTTCTTCAGCCAAACGGATCCAGAATCCATTTCCAACTGTCAGCATTGCATTATAAAACCGATCACGTAACTTGTACACAAAAAAAAAATTGTTCCTGGCACGGTGGCACCTGGGGTGCATGGCTCACGTCACGAGCACGGAATATATGGACTAGTTTGACAAGTCCATATAACTCGATTTGTTGGGAGAAGCTTATGCTGGATCTTATAGCACTCTTTAACACGCCCCCACGCCCCCTCAAACCAAAGTCAACCCACGGGCTTGAAGTTTGCACAGGCCCACCATACCTTGTGCTTTAAGTAAGTGTTATATTGGAGGTCGTGGAGATTCGAACACACGTCCACTCCAAACCAGCTCTGATACCATGTCAAGAACCAAGTTGGTCCTAATAACTCGAGTTATTGGGAGAAGGTTGTTATCCTGGATCTTATAGCACTCTCTAACAGTATACACATATATTATGGGTCGTATCGGATTTGGATTGATGATAACGAGTAGAGGGTGGTAAATGGATTGGATTGGTGGATTCATGGATTGGATCAAATGGATTGGTGGATTGATCCATCAATCCAAATGACATCCAAAATTTTGACCAAAATGTAAATTTTGAAAAGTTTAGGTACTAAAATGTCGTAAAAAAAATTTTAGGTACCAAAACCAATGATATTTTTTCGTGTAAAAATATAAATTTTAAGTACCAAAATGTAAAATATAAAAATATAGGTACCAAAATTATAATTTTCCATTTGGATCCATGGATTGATCCATTAATCCACCAATCCAATTGAATTTGGATGAAATGGATTGGATTAAATGAATTGAATTAGATGGATAATTTAATGGATGGATTGGACTGTATTCATGAATTGATAGGAGGTTTGCATGTTGTACTAATCAAAAGAGGAAAAAACCTGAAGGATTGTTTGCTTCTATTTCTATACGATATTACCAATACTGCCTACCGGACTCGATGATATTCCATCCGACGTAGAGCAAGGGGAACCTAAACCCTGCAATGATTATAAGAGCCCAAGCGAGTGTGCTCTGTTTACTATTCTTTCGTACTTTCTTTATTGTCGAAATAGGTTCCATAAGATCTTGCCTAGATAACATTTTTCTATACTGTGAAGACGAATCATTTCTCTTTCTATACGCAACGCTATTCGGATCTTAATTTTGAAGACAATACCAATAGAGGAGGTTGGTAATGATGATTTTGTCCGCACAATCAGAGTTCCTGCATGAGGGTTTTTTTGAGCCAGTCCCGTTCTAACTGAACGGAATAGGACCAGGTAGGTAGGAGGTTGTCTTCTCAACGTGGTCCCTACCGACGCTGGGGTGCGAAAGCATGGGGAGCGAACGAGATAGATACCCTGGTAGTCCTCATCAACCAGTGGATCCTTCTTCCAATTATTAATTATGGATTAATTTTTTTTAACTATCGTTAAACCGCTTTCTAGAAGGATCCTAATTGCCACCTCTAATAACGAGGATGAGTATGCGCACAATATGATATGTAAACAGCTCGTGCCAAATTTAATGTTTTTGGGATCTTAGTAAATAGAGGCGTGCGTGACATGGTACAAGCTCGATGCTTCTTTACAGAAAATTAATATAGAAAAATTATATGTTCAAAAGAATACAAAATGTAGCTACATAAATAAGCCAATTATTATTTACAGAAGTGCTCAACAAAATATTAAATAAATACTATCATAAATAAAAATGCCCGAAAAGAATGATAAAAAAACTATCATTCACGTTGTACTTCGAGTTTTCTTCTTTACCTGTCCAGTTTTTGTCTCTTTCTTTTTCATTTCTGCTTTTATTTTCTTCTCTTTTATTAAATACGAATATGAGCATAACACAAGTAAAATGTGCTCGAGACAGGTCAGAGTCATGTCGACATAAGTATGACGTCGACCATCGCCTATGTACATGCCCAACTCACTTTTATTTTCCGATATAACTCAACATTAAAATTTATACATCTCCATACCTCTTCACGTGAATTTAACGGGTATTTACGAAGTGGGAAATTTGTGCCAAGATTTCTCAGCATAAAAAAGTCTTATCTTCAAGACTTCAACTAAACCATAATTTTCTCGTTCAAGAAATCCAAAATTGTAATTTGGGGGTTAATTAATAAAATTTGTGCAATCGATATATTTCGATAATTTCTTTGTACACTAAAAAAGTTGTGAAAATATTTTACACCTTGTTTAGCCAATACACTTCAACTCATCTTACTGATTGTTGTAGCCAACTCTCTAAAGAATTTCCTAGTTGAGCCTTTGTTGTTTTCCATTTCTTGCAATTTTTTTAGGGTTTGGAAAATTTGACATCAAGGACTAATAGTAAATGGTACAAAGTGTGTAAGTCTGGTCATCTGAGTACAAAACTTATTAAATTCATTTATACCGAATGATATGTAATTAATCTGATCAATTAAGTAATTAAAATAAAAAAAATTGATCAATTAATTACTATGTTCCTTTTGGACGTGAGGTGTCTATCATTTCTATTCATTCAGCACATGTTATTTCTAATTGCAAATTATCATTTCAATAAAATGTACAATGAAGAAGTGTAACTAGACTATAATTTATGGAATAGATTACACATTTTCTTGCTATCAAAATGCAGTTAATTAAGGCAATTAGGCAAAATAATGAAACAAGTGTACCTAAGAACTGAAATTCAGAAAATATTTTGAACATGCAAGCTATGTCACTGGGATTAGAGATCCCTCAATTATAAAAGGAAACAATCCAACACACAATCCACTCAACCTAAACTAGCATCTCTTGTTCATGTTGGATACATATAACGTATATTTTGTGAGTTGGAAGCCTGAGTTTCCCATATCTAGTTACGTAATCTTCTAGTTGACTCTAAATTATAGAACACATGCACCACGAGGGCAAGAGCCGAGGCTGGAGCTGGCGATAGGGAAATGGTCAGGCCGACAGTTTGCGGATAATATATGAAACATCTCCGCAAAGTCAACACTCTCTCCCAAAATGGAAAAAGATGGCTCAATATAGTGGGATAACTAAATATGGAATATTTATTTAGAAAATTCAGATCTAATGATAGAAAATTAAATATTATTTTTATTTTTCTTAGTTTTCTTAATCGACTCATATATTTTTTGTTTTAACTCGAATTTTAATTTTTTTGCACAGATGGAACGAGTTTGTTGTGCTCTACAAAACGAGATCCATTTTCAATATTTTTGGAGAAAAAAATTTCTTGCCTCTCGTTACCAACTGCATACCATATGATATCTTCTTCGTTTTTAATTCGTTTTTGAAAACGTTTGCACAGAAGGAACGAGTTCATCATGATCTATTGGATCTACAAATTTCTAGGTGAACAAATTACAGGACCAAAAAATACCACACAATACCACCCTGGTATGAGGTGGTATCTTGTGGTACACAATGTTAAAAGTCGTAAATGACAGTTAATATACTTCTACTATCATGTATTCAACCATCATACAGTCTTGGTTTGCTCATACCACCATGGTACGCTTTTCAATCCATAGGTATGCTCTTATTTCAATACCAGTCAATACCATATGGTATAGACTGGTAAAAAATGGCTTAATTTTTTTTTTTCAAAAATATATCAAAGTGAATATCATTTTGAAGAGCACATTTAATCTGATTTATCTACGCAAAAAAAAAAAAAATTACATTTCGACTTAAAACGAAAGATAAATCATCTGTTAAAGATTAAAGAGGAAAAAAATAAAAGACTTTTCAGGAGAGAGATGCTGATATCCTGCTGATGTTGACGGATTACTCATGATTACTCATCATAAAGTTACTCACCGGATCTGCTCCTGAAAAAGATTATCCAAGTTTCGATGGAGATATTCATGATTTATTTTGGAATATATATATATATATATGGCAAAGGCTAGCGTACGCCCGGACGTACCCTAGCCTATCGTACACCCGTTGAGTTTTGCTATTTAGACAATAAATTAACCGGAGTTTGGGGCACGATACTATACCCTAACCCCTAATGGATGAACCCAAGGGCAAAAGCCGGGTACGGGTACCTTGGCCGATCTTCACCGTTCGTTTTCAATCTCCACGGCTCACGTTTGTTAAACCTAACTGCGCCACTAAATAACTAAACAAATTACAAAAAGCCTCCTCCGCGTTAAGTTTGTTTTCATCCTAGTCCAACTAACTGCCCCGATTAAATTAAATGGATTAAGACCCAAACCCAATTGGGTAGACCCACTGCCGCCCAAACCAATTTCCAGTCTCCCTAACCAATTACACGATCCCTCTCTCGTCTTGGAGGGACGCCCCTTCACAGTTCCAAGAGAAGCTCCCCATCCACATTCGACGTAGATTGAATTTCCCAAAAAAAATTTGTCTTGTTTCTTCTTCGCCATTGTATTTCCCCTCGCCTATCTCTTTCTAACACGATTACGGCGACCATGTCTATTATTGTGTTCATCGAACTTTTCATTTGCAAAAGAACCTTTAAAGAGGTTTGCTAACCCTAGGGTTCATATCCCTAGTGCTTTGTCATCTTGTCTTAGCGTTATTGTGATTTTCTCGAGCCTTATATCTCTCGGTGAAATTTAGGTTTCCTGATATGTAGTGCTCGTCTCGCCCAGA